TGTCCTGCACTTTGCTAACTAAAGGAATAACCAACCTAATAGAAAGCTTTTTTTAATGAAAAAAACAACCACCAGCACCTCCAAAACAGTCTTCAAGGACTTCACCTATTCTCTGTGAATTCTTGAAAGTTATAGAAAGAAGCTATAAATAAACTGGCTCAGACATTGCTACATATGAGTTAGTTTGCTATGTGAACATATCATCGGATATGTTCTAAAATGTATTGTCTATGTTTTATTCACTGTATTGACAATAAGGCAGATAATTAAAAATAATCATAGCACTCAATCTTTCCCAGCATTCCAATGTTTTCCTGCAGAATACCAACACTTTTGAGGCAACCTTGGGCCATGTGTTTCTGGACAATAGAACCGGATGGGGTGTTTTAACTACCCCTCTGCCTGTCTCCCTCATTTTAATTTTCCAAATTCCTGAGAATTCTTTTGACACTGTCTAAAAACATTCCCACGTGGGCTGTATCTATCAACATCTCCCTGCTGACTCCCTTGAAGGGGGAATGAATTGGAGCATCTTTAGATTTCATCAGGTTGCTGTGGCAATATTTTCTTCCTTTCATATATTGCAATGCATTTGTTTTCCATATATCTTCATGGTGTGCTTAATTTTTTTTAATATTTCCATTCACTTTCATCCATTACTGAAAAGACTTTTACCTCAAGCTCAGCAAGAAATACCAGATGTTCAAGTAGCATTCAGAAAAGGAAAAGGGGCTAGATGTCATATCACAAATATAAGTTGGCTAATAGAGTGTACCAAAGAATTTCAGAAGAAAATTGTTTTATGCATTAGAGGTTATAGAAAAGGCTTTGACTATAGATCATGAAAAGCTATGGATCACTGTAAAAGACACTGATGTGTCACAGCATTTTATAGTCTTGATGTGTAACCTGTACTTTAAATAAGAGACGATAGTTTATCAGACTGGCCCACAGGTGGTTGGAAAAAGTGTGATTAAGACTGTAGTTTATTTCCCTGCCTGTTCATTCTGTGTGCATAACAAAAAGCTGGATTAGGTTCAAAGGAAGAAGGAGTACAAAATGGTACATCAACCATAAGATAATGCAGTTTGGCACATAATATTTGCATGAAACAGGAATCATTTGAAATTACTGTAGTACCATGGAAAGTTAAAGAAAAAAAAAGTTAAAGAAAAAAGAGCCATACCAGACATACAAAAGGTAAAATATTTAAAACAGCAAATATAGCAATGTAAAACCAAGGTCTAAGGGTTTAGCTGTCTGTTCTGTCTGTTATAGCATGCCGCCCAAAATTTCGCTACCAGTTCTGTAGTAATCCTATTTTGGTCGGTTAACAATTGATTACAGTAGTCCGAATCTGATTGACCTGCCATATCTTTTAAGTCAGTACTCATGGATATTACAGCCAAGAAATCAGGACTTGTAAGGGTAGCTATGGAGGAATTAGAAAAATTTGGGATCTGTCTCCAGATACCAAGACCACAATCATTTGTAATGATGCTGTGGTATTTCCTACTACTATGAATGGTTGGGAAAGTTGGGCAATGAAGCCAGCTGACTGGAAAGTTCTGGTTATTTATTGTGTTTATTTGCACATGTCTTAAATGTATTCATGATCTCCTCTGCAGCCATATACCAGTAGAAAGGCAGAACTTTTTTTGAAAGTATTCATTTGAAATGTATTGTTAAAGAATACATTTGGATACAATGAACTGCTAGAAAGACAAATAAAATGATAAATCAAATCAAGCCTGAATTCTTGCTAGAAGGTAAAATGATACAACAGGTCATATGATGAGAACACAGTAATGCTACAGGAAGTGGGAAAGAGTAGAAAAAAAGGAAGACAGATAAGGCGGATTAACTGGACGAAGAAAGCCACAGCCTTTGCCTCCAAGGCTTTGGCAAGGCTGTTAAGGAAGGACTTTCTGGGGGGTCTTACAGGGTCACTATAAGTGGAAACAATTTGATAGTACATAACAACAATACTTTATGTCAGAATTTTAATTGTATAACCAAGTGTAACAGCTGTGATAGAAAAATGTAATACCATCATACACAGTTTAGAGTTCATCTATTTACTGATATTCAGCAAGCTGTATTTATGTACAAGTTCTTATTAATTGGAACAAATTTCTGCATTCCAGTTGGAATTTTGATCATGAAGTAGAAATATATATTATTATTTATTTCTTCAAAATATTTTATCCTGCCTTTCTCCTTAAAAGGACCCAGAGCTATTACAAATATGTTAAACCATGTGTATGCCAAATTTTGACACTTTTAAAAATGTGTGGTTAAACTAGCTTTGAAAACAGATTAGGCATCCTTCAGTCTCGAGAGACTATGGCAACATGTTCTGTATGGAGTACTTGGAACAGCTTTGGAAACAAAGGTTTTAAAAGTAAATACATTTTATGTGTTCTTTGGTTTCCCAGAAGAAACATCAAAGGATTTTTTCTGATGTAAGGTGGCTTCTGCAGCTGATGATTACTTGTTCATTCTATCATAACTCTCCAATATCACTTGCTAATGTTAAGAGTGGCTATATGTTTCTGAATCTGTTGTTCTGCTCTGTTTTAATATTTGAAATAAATATGCTCAATCTCACATGGGCTTTCAACAGACTGAGACTGTTTTCTTTTGCAGAGAAACCCTGCCAGACCAAAAGCATTGTGGCTGAACAATTATTAAGAGATCACTGGAAAGGATTCTTAGCCCAAGGTTATATGCAAATTCCACAAAAAATGATGGAAAGGGAAAAAAATCACAAAATTCTCCAGAATGCATATTAAAACAAAACAGGGGAAGACAGGCCAGCTGATGGGAGGCATCTGCAAAGGATGATGGAAGAGGTAATAAAGTAGGCAGAATGG